CAGGTGGCAGCAGCACTCTGCCCCCAGTAGGCATTGTGGGGGCGGAGTGTGGGCGGGGCCAGGGTGGTGGTTTGGGAAGGCAATGCCTTCCCCTGCCTAGCGTACCTGCAGGGCACCGGGGGGGCCATTGGCAGAGCTCTGTGACAACGCAGCGCCCGTGGGTGGAGCCCGGCGTGACGATAGCTCTGGGGAAAGCTGGCTGTGCTGCATGTCGGCACTGAGATGCGCTGGCAGGGCTGCGGGGACAGGCCTGCGGGTTGGCCCTTTGCCGTGCTGGGCCCCGTCGAGGACGCGCTGTCAGACACGTCGAATTCCACCCGGTGCACCCTAATGCCCACGGGCTCAATCTCTCGCCTCCCAGGTGCTGGTGGTGGATCAGCTCAGCATGCGCATGCTCTCTTCCTGCTGCAAAATGACCGACATCATGACGGAGGGGATAACAAGTGAGTGCAACCCCCTCGGGTGCTCCCACTCTGCAGTCCCCCACCCCTCAGAAGCTCCCACTCTGCTCCTCAGACTCTAGCTTAACCTGTAACGTTGGCTGGTGCTGGGAGGCAGGTGATGGGGAAGAGTTGGGCTGGGAGAGCATCTTCTTCCCTTCTTCCCCCATTTCATGCTGAATCAGCTGCAGCACTTCTGTCAGCCCATCTCTCCTGGTCAGCACTTTGCCACTGGAGCTCAGCAGGCTCTATCGCGTCTCTTGGAGCTCCAGTCACACTAAAAACTTCCCTGTACAGCTGATGGCTGGAGAGCTTCATTTCTCCCCCGCCCCCCAGTGCCACTGTGACCTGAACTGGGCTGGCTAGGCCAGTGCGATCCCTTCCACCCAGGGTGCAGACAGATTGGGAGTCTCTCTTTCACTGGGCTAAGGATACAGGCATGGCAGCGCTGCTGTCTGTCCCACTGGGCAGGGCAGTAATCCATGGTAATCCAGTCAGCTGGGTGTCCAAGTTGCAGGATTTTTTTTAGAATTAATGGAGAACTGGAAAGGACCATCAAGTCCACTCCTCTGCCTTCACAGCAGGACCAAATACCATCCCTGACAATTTTTTGCCCAAAATCCCCTCTGCAAGGATTGAACTCACAACCCTGGGATTAGCAGGTCAATGCTCAAACCACTGAGCTATCCCTCCCAGATATTTGGGGTTAGGGATTTGGAGTGAGATTTTTCCACAGGCTTCCCTGAATGACTCACACAACTTGGCTAGCATGAGGATCTGGCCTCTTTGTGCTATTTCACTCCCTGGTAGCTGGAAAAACAACGGTACTGATGTCCTTTGGGAAGTGCTGTGCAATCTGTGGCGGAGAAGGCTGGTTAATAATCTCCTTCTGCCCTGCCTGCAATCAGCATTGGCCAGTAGCCGCCATGCGACCCAGTGGGCGCTGCTGCAGCCCCGGAGGAGGAAGGTAGGAGAACAGGTGAGAGCTAACAGCCGTCTTTTCCATTCCTTTTGCAGAGATCATGCATGATGTCATCAGGAAGGTGAAGAAGAAGGGCGAGTGGAAGGTGAGTGGGGGAACAGGGCAGGCACAGGCACCAACTCCATGGATGCTCCGATCTGGAGCCCCCTTCCCCCAGGACCTGCCAGCAGCCCTGCTGAGCTCTACCTCCCCTCCCAGCACCTCCTGCTGCTGTCTGGCAGCAGGCCAGGGCG